TATAATGTTACATTATCTTCAATGTGAAATTGTAATATTGATGTTACTATTGGTGTTTACTGAATGAAGCTCTTTTCTTTCCTCCATCTTTCTTCCCTTCGTTGTCGAGCAAGCGATCGTCGTCCGACGATTCGCTTCGTTTTTCAAATTTCAGGACGCTTGAATTTTGCGTTTAGGAATGAGATCGATAGAAAGCGAAGGGCTCCTTCTTTCTTTCTCGGCAGTGACCGATTTTCTTCTCTACGCGGACTCGCGTACTCGGTTCGCTTATACAGTTTTGATATGGGACACGTTCGCTTTGCTAGTGACATAAATCAAGTTTCGAAAATTGTTCCTTTGACACAAATACAACCCCGAATACGCGCGAGGTGGTTTTTAAGCCTCGTGCCAAGTTGCGAGGATCGATTTGTCGAGTATCGACGATCCCCGCGTTCATCGCCGGCTCTTTCTTTTTTTCGATACGAACGAGGGAGACGACTGTGTATTTTTGCGAATCAATCAAAACCAGAGATTCTCATCTTCGGAAACCGGAAGGAACCACGCGACCGATTACATGTGATAAGCGCAATCAAACCGGGAGATCACATTTGCCTTTTACCGAATGCACTTTCGCGAGAGAGACTCGAGCATTCCGCTAGTTTTGGAAACTTCTACACTTTTGGTGCATATAAAATATTGACAAATTAATTAATTCTAAGGAGTAATATATTACGGTGCTGTACTATAGCCGCGCTATACAGAAACGTGCATTAGGGCAGTTGTAATAACGCTGTTGTAATACGTTATTCTAACGTATCGGGCGACAGAATCGATCGGCGACTATTGAAGTGTCGAAACGAGCTTGATTTATTAAGTAGCGTGTGTCTCGCGTAATTCTTTTTAAATAAACGGAAACACAGTTTCAAATTTTTACAATATATATACTTGTCTATATCGCGAAAAGATTGAATCTTTGACAATGAAGAATTAAAATATTTTTCTAATTGTGATCAGTGAAATTATGTGTACATATAATTATAAAGAGGCACAATCCTTTGCGCCGAGTATATATGTAAAATTTTTTAATTGTTAAAATTGTAAAAATATGTACAGATTGTTTCAGTATCTTCCATATGTACGTATTTTAAACCACTTGATTGAAGAATCATTTGAATAAAGAGATATCTACGCTATGTTGAGAACTATCGGTGGAGAAGACGCGTTCGCTACAATCGTATGCCTCGCCCCGCGTGCAATTAATCGCGATTGATATTGTTCGATATTTCTTCTAAGATGGTCGATATTTTTCTCCGACGTGCCTCGACGTCATTTCGCCTGCAACGCGCTGATCGGACGATACCGAAGTAGCCTCGTTTTTAAATCCGCTTTTGGAGAAGAACTAGTGCTATTAAGGCTGTACAAATAGAGTATAGAGTGTTTGAGAGCAGTCGTGCGTATTGGACCTGTCAAAGAATCGTCATTCTGGGCGAAAAAAAAAATGGACGCGGTGTACGATCGCGGTGTGAGGGACTGTCCTGCAATCGCCTGACGCGTGCCTATTAATCTAGATTACGCTTGATTACCGACGTACAAAGTACCGAGGCGAATCACGCGTAATTATACGATCGATCGGATCACGCTTATCATCGTCATACAGGATAATCGAGAAAATTGGTTCCAATTAATCTGGCTCATCCAACGCGAACCATAAAAAAATGATTAGTCGAACAAATAAATTTTGCTACTAAAAAATTCGAAAATATGATCAATTTTCTACACGGAAAGAAAGATCTTGCTGAAATTTTTGAAAAATTTACAATAATAAATGATTTATTGAGACCGTAATGTGAATACGCACAAGTAAGAATATTAAAAGCCTATAATGATTGAAGCTGGATTTTTAATGCTTTAAATAATTCAATGTGAATTAAAAAATTAGCTCAGATCAGAAAATAATTTTGTTAGATTATCAAAATAATTATGTAGAACGCTTAAGCGTTATTGACAATGTTATAAAAAGTTGTAACACTCCAATAACTAGTTTGAACGTCTTACATAATTACACTGGCCAACCAAATTAACGCGACACCTGTTTCACTCTGCAAAAATAGGCAAATTTCAATTTCATGATTTTTTTTCATTGAGTTATTCAACGTTGAAGCTAAAGGTTCATTTTTCTGAGATCTCATGTATCTTCATTTATTTGTGTAACTTCACAAAATCTCCATGAGACCGTTTTTTAAAGTAGTGATCTGAAAAGTACAAGTTTCAAGCTGTAAAATGCTTTTTTAAGCATCTCGATATTTGACGATTTTTGACGAAGTTATTCTATTTTGAAATTTGCCTACTTTTGCAGAGTGAAACAGCTGCTGCGTTAATTTTGTTGGCCAGTGTATTTTGATGGTCCAAATAAAATTATTTTCAAATCAATATTCATATTCTAAAATTTTAATTAGATACTTCATCAAATCGTTCTTTCTCTACGTATGAATTGGAACGGCGGATGACGTACTTAAAGATAAACGGAAAAATAATTAAAATAGCCTCATATTATTGGTGCCTGATTTTATTGGTGCACCGCGTCCATTCGTGCGATAGGAAGCCCGAAATCTTTCCCTTAGCTCTTAAGCCGGAGACGGCCAGCGAGTCACGTTCTCCTCTTGGTTCTTCTGCGCGTTTCATGGCGCGTAGAACTCCATTTCGTCATATGTGCATCTAGTCTTGTCCAGTATGCCCTTGTAACTTGCGCGCGACGCGTATGCGTGAGCCGCATATCGCACACAAACACAAAAACACACAAACACACACACACACACACACACACACACACACTTATACATGTGCAGATCCGGGATGCACATACGCGTACACAACAACACGATGGTCGTCGCGACCGCGTTCAATCACGTGTGACGCAAGCTGCACGGCGTCGGGAGGCGTCGCGACGCCGGTCATCTGCAATATCGGACTCGCCATACTGGAACCGGTAGGCGTTTCCACCGTTTTGCTGGAAATACACACTCGTTTCTCTTACGACACACGGAACGGTTTTGTCGAATATCCAAGAGTTTAGCTAGCTATATATACACGCAGAGAATTTTTTTCTCAGAGTTTACTCTGAAAATATGATAGGCGTGAGACAACATTATATTTCGAAGAATTTTAATGTAAACCTCTCTCTCTCATTCATTAATAAAACTACAATAAAGTATAAAATAAGTTTGATTAATTTTACTAAAGTGGTAACATGGTAAAAATCTTTAAAATATTGCATTGTACCACAACTATTATATTTTCAGGGTAAATTTTCGAAGAAAATTCTCTCCGTGTAGATTAAAAAATAATTACCATCAAAATAATTGTACGTAAGACACCTCTCAAGCAAGATAGATGAGATTTACGGGTTACCTCCGTTTCTTGATATATTATATCGTTAAATGCCAACGTTTCTTAAACATTGCAGTTCATTTCACCAGGGCGAGAAGCAACCCGACACTGCCCAGGTATGATGATACTGCAAAAAATTTTAACATTCTAGCTACTTGAGCTTCTACAAGCTTCATCGTTCAATATTTTGATGGTCTAACGTAATTACTTTCTGTATCTAGCTAAATTTTTAGACACTTCAGCAAAGTTCTTTCTGTGCACAGTACTGACGCACATTCACTACTGTCGTACATCTCCCGTACTCTTGGCGCACACGAAACCGTACAATACATTTTGATACGAAGATCGCGTAGGCTGAGCCCGAGGACGCACGCAAGTTATTGTTATCGTGATGATATCGGCAATAAGTAAACCTCCTATCTCTTTTGCACGGGAAATGTCCCTGTACCGGATGTCCAGCTTAATCTCTCCGTTCGGTTACACTAGTCAACAAATAAAAAAATGTTTTTGATTATATGAATCAAACAAGATGGTTTCTTAATCATTTTCATCCATTGAATATGAATATATCAGTAAAACTTTGTAACATGTACAATCTCTTTTTGTTATTGAAATATTTATCAGAATATTTATCATTTTTGATAAAAATATCTGCTTTGATGCTTTAGTAACTTTTATCTCGGGAGACAGATTTGAAATTTTCCTTTCAACCTGTGAGAAGAGAATTTACATAACAATAGTGTACAGTACGCAAGAGAAACTCAACTTTTATCCTGTTCTTTGATACAAATGTAAGTTGTAAGGTTTCTTCAAAATTTTTATAAGCGTATTTTTTGTGCTTTCATATAATCAAAGAGCCATACATATAACATAATTTATTTGGCACATTTATACAAAATCTGAGAGAAAAGCGAGTGCAGTAGAGTAGACAGAGTAGACACTGGTCTGCTATGCTTAGAGATCTCGGGTTTGATTCCCGGAAAAACCAAAATATTTTCATACACTCGTTCTCCTCTCGAAAGGAAGCGACATCGAGAGTATCCTTGCCAAGAACACTTCTGTAGTTCCCATGAACTGTGTATGACTTCATTCTTACCACAGGCATATGAAAGAAGTCACCACGCTCAGACACGAGCAACAGGACTAAGAGAGATACAAAATCTGGGAAGAATTCGCCATATTTAAATCTTCAAGTATTAAAGTCTTTTTGACTACATAAAAGTAACATGCTATGACTTTTTGTATTATTACAAAAATATAGCCAATTTTAATAAATATGTAGTTCAATACTGTCAACTGAACATTTATTTAGAGTAAATAAGTATATCAAATACGACATAGAATGCCATAATTTCGGTCAAAGTTAGACGTTCCGAATAATACAATTAAATAAATTTATTTCAGATATGATTGCGCCCCGACAACTTTCGGGCTTTCAACACGATCAGTCTGAAATGCCCTCCAAATTCCCCCTAAATTAAATTTAGAAAAACTGTAAAGACATTATTGCGAAAAATATTACCT